CTCGTACATCATTTCCACGTTCCGTAGAATTTTGGATAATTTGCAGAAAAATGTTATTCGCGCATTTCTGGAATGAGGGTGACGCTGCATTAAACTATTTTTTAATTTATTCGGAAAATAATGTTAATAAGAGAAGTGGCATCGCGTCTGCGACGGATATAACGTAAGGACGCTTGACCGTCGCTCTCCATCGCTTTCTCCATTGTCCCATAAAATTTCGAATAGCCTGAAATAATATTACGTTGCATTTCTAGGAGCGTGAAGACGCTACATTGTAGTCTCCTACTCTTCTAACCTATTTGAAATAATGACGGTAACAAAAACGAGGCAAATTTTAATGGCTGCCGTTCGCGCCGACCAACCCGAGCGCGATCTATCGATGCGACCCAAGATGGCCGACGTCGTGCTGGTTCGAGACAATCGAGACTTCGAGTTCGAGCGAGACGCTTGTTGCTCGTTCAGCTCGTTGTTGACGGCTCCAACTGGATCCGAGGTGAACGTTAAAGAGACACGAGTGACATTTTCTTCGGGCAGAAGGATCGCTTCGTAATTTCGCGATCGCGATGACGCGGCACGCGAGGAATTGTACCGCGGGCGCGGTGTACACGTATCACGAGAAGAAGAAGGACGCCGCGGCGTCAGGTTATGGCACCAACACTCAACGAGTGGGCAAGGACTCCGTCAAGGATTTCGACTGCTGTTGCCTGACTCTGCAACCCTGCAGGAATCCAGTGATCACGTAAGTATCTCAGGAACTGTGTGTGACGCATATTTTTTTTTCTTGTGCTTCGTATTCGCGCACTCTGTTTCTCACGATCCACGTTCCGTTGTCGCAGGAAAGACGGCTATCTGTTCGACAAAGAGGCGATATTGGAGTACATCCTGACCAAAAAGAGGGAATACGCGAGAAAGCTGAAGGAATACGAGAAGCAGAAGCAGAAGGAAGAGGTGAGGTTATGGGCGCGCTTTAAAATTATCAGAAAGCTTGAACAGTCGACATACTCACATTGCTGTATTTATTATAGGAACAGTCGCAGGAACAGACGGCCAATGAAGAGCTGAAGAAGTTGCAGAATTTTTTGAAGGGTGAAAAAATCATCATGTCGAGCGGGCCTAGTACGACGGACGGAGGAGAGTCGGTCTCCAACATGAAGAACGGCAAGGACAAGGTGCTGCCGAGCTTCTGGATACCCTCGAAGACCCCGGGGGTGAAGGAACTCACCTTACAGAAGCCGGACAAGACCATTTATTGCCCTGTCAGTGGAAAGCCGTTGAAAGTGAAGGATCTGATTCCGATAAAATTCACGGTGGTTCAGGACCCGGACGACAAGAGATCGCTTATTGTCAAACAGGCGCGATACATGTGCCCCATTACGCACGACGTTTTGGGCAACAACGTTCCGTGTGCCGTGATAAGAACCACGTAAGAATAATGAAATATTCTTCCGCCTTGCTTCAGTGGCAAGTTATCGATTTTCATCGTCTTGCTTAACTGTTCAAATGTCTTGTGTTTACAGCGGCGACGTGGTCACGATGGAGTGTGTAGAAAAGTTAATAAAGAAGGATTGGATCAACCCTCTAGATAATTCCAAATTGACCCCGTCTGATATCATCCCTCTACAGAGGGTAAGTAATATAGATACAGTGTAACAAATAATTGGCGCAGACAGTAATATCCATTTTCGTTATTTTACAGGGTGGCACTGGTTATGCATCTGTTAACGATTCGTTGGAGGGCAAGCACGAAAGGCCGGTGTTGCAGGCGTGAAGGATACTTCTCATCGCTCCGTATCGCTGTATATAGATGTTTTTTAACCTAAGAAGGTACAAATTTTAATATAAATATAATTAGGCGTTAATTAACGTTTATATACTTCGTTTAATTTATAAGTTCTCAATAAATTCGAACCCTGAACTGGCGTTCCGACACATATTAGCGTGATGTATCATGATCATTTCCGTTCATAGAAATTTGCGTAATTAAAATATATACGTAACAATATAAAAAGAGAGCTGATGCTATCCTTTACTTGAAATAACTACATGGGAAACGTGAAAAAACCATTTATGCCTGTGTGTGTAGGTATGTGTGTGCGTGAGATTTTATCGGATACATTAAAGAATTTTAATTTAATTTAAAAATCCTGTATTATATATAAAAAAGAACTAAAATTCAGACTCTTGTAAAATAGAATAAAGTATACTCAGGAACAAGAAAAATTTAAGTTTCAAGTTTTGCGCATGGATGAAAAGAAATTATAATTAATTAAGGAATAGAAAGAAAAATTTAATTTAAAGAATGTGAATAGAAATATTAGAAAATAAAAAACGAATTTAAGAAATAGAAGGAAAACGATAGGAATCCGTTTCTTTCTTTAGATTAAAAGATGAATAGAGAGTTGTAGGTTCCGCTATTTTGCTCCATTTACATCAAACATATGGGCTTAATTATCATTATTCCAAGATCATGACCAAATTCTTATTATTCTTAGATTATGGTCAAATTTTTATTATTCTTAGATTATGGGTTAATTCTTTTTATTTTTAAATAATATTGCGTTTTCTATTTTTACTCAATTTTATTTTTACTTGTTTATTACGCTCACTATATAGCGTGTGCATATAACGACATGTAAATGTACGCGAGAGTCCACGGTATATTAATTAAGCTCGGATCCGCTCGGAGTCCAGACGGTCGCGCGGATCAGTCATCAGTCATCCCGCGACGGCCGCGACGCGACGTTCCCCGAAGCCGACCAGGGCTGCCAGAATGTGTGCCGCAGAAACCGCCGCTAGAGCGAGCTGAGCTAGCCCAAAATCCGCACATTCCCTAGCAATGTAGCCCAATATCGCTTTTTTTTCGTATCTCATATAATATGATATAATATAATATCATATAATATGATAATAAACCATGCTGTCGCATCGAAGACTGTGTTCTTCTGTCTAGGACTTGCTCTTTCTCGCAATGTTTATTAGATTTCTTATGGGCGATAAGATCACTATGCTTTGCACGCAAATAACATTTGCATAGTTTACAGTATGCTTCCTGCTTGCCATTCAACACATCAATCTCATTGCTTTCTTCAAGCCAATCTATGGACACAGTAAAAATGAAAAGACGTCGAATTAGACCTCTCTTCGACGCATTCGACGTCTAATTCAACATCTATTCTATCAACTATTATTTCTCACTGGGCATATATAAACTTAAATCTCAAAGAATATAATAGAAGCATTAAACAGAAAAAAATAAAGTTAAAACAGTACAGATTTGATACTTACTCTTCAGTTCTGGTTCTATTAACCATTTCTTTTGGAAACGTTTCTTATATTTACCCCATTTACCCATCTTTACTATTGTAATATACAATATATATATCATATTTATTAAATTGCACACGATATAGATACCATAAGACAAATTTAAAACTACCCGCTCATAAAAGCTATCAATAACGATCAGACAAGAAGAGGACTGTGTAAAGATGTCAAATCGTGGCCTTGGTTTTGTGCAGACACAACGACAAGGCACGTCAGTGTGGCGCTTGGCGCTCGTCAATTTGTCGAAGCGTCACACCGACGTGCCATTTCGTCGTGTTCGTGCAAAGCTGAGACCTGGCATCTCTGTCGTGCAATGTCCAAGTGCGTTCCTTGTCTGTGCGGCGCAAGCGTAGAATGCAGCCATAGATTTGTAAACCAGTGTTGCAAATCTCATAGTGCCAAACTATCGGTGTTTCCACAAATTCAAACCCAGATGAATTGAGTATTTTCGCTCAAGACACGGTGTACTGTAAGATATAATTGTAAGATTACATAAAAATTATATTTTACACCGTGGCTTAAAAAATAGCAAAATGCGGAAATCCTCGTTTGAAAAATTTATACCGCACAAGAGTTCTCTAGATAGCCCAATTTGCGTTAAATAGCCCAATCTGGCAGCCCTGAAGCCGACGCCGCCGACGGGAACGGGGATGCTGGCGCCATCTCGGCGGGCGGCACGGTCGCCTCGTGGGGAGCTCGCGGAGAGCGCGCGCTCCGCCGGGTAAGCGGCAATCTGCGGGACGGCGTTCCGGTGATTCGCTGTCGGCGCTCGTCGGCTCCGCGCGTGCGTTCGAAAGACGAACGCGCTTTCGGGTTTCGCGCGTGTTTCTGCCTACGTGCCTTACGTGCGTGCGTGCGTGCGTGTTTACGGTTTCTCTCGTCCCGCGACGCAAGGGAGATTCCTCGCGCGGATTCGCGCAGCGCGGGAGATCGCGTCCGCATCGAAACGCCGAACGACGACAACGACGACCGAGAGGTGAGTGCGCTTGAATTGTCGCGATTCTGCGGAACGACGAGGATTCCGTGAGAGTTATCGCGTCCGTGACGTGAAGATATCTCTCTGCATTTGCTTGGCATTTTTTATACTTTTCCTTTCCTCCCGTCCTTTCCTCGCTCGCGCGCTCGCGCGAGCGAAGCGTCGAGGCGACTCGACGAAGCCGCGAGCGCGAATCGCCGATTTTCGAAACGCGACGGCGCGGACGGTTCCCTGCGCACTTCGAATGTATTTAAATGTGCGATCAGCGATTATGACACCCGCGATCGACGATAAATAACGCAAGTAGGACATGTAAATGCATCGATTGCAGGTCTGTCGCGTGCGAGAGACGGCCGGGAGGAATCCCGCGAGCGCGCGCGCGCGCGCCGCGTTTAGCTCCAATTTAATCGTTTGCGTATCTACCGGGGCCTTTATACGCGCGGACAATAGAAATTCCTGCGAGACATTGCACGATTGTTCGATGGGGGAAAGCGTTCTGATCCTTCAAACTGCATTTACGCATCTCTCTCTCTCTTTCTCTCTCTCGAACCTCCGGCGTTGCTCGCGAATTTTCTTCGCGCGCAATTCCTCGCGATTCGTCGTCCAAATCTTTAGGCGATCTTTTGTGAAACCGACGACCGAGTTTTCGGGCGGGATACATTTTAAACGTATCGCTCGCGAGTAAGAAAGCGCGGAAGCTTTCTCGCGACGCGAGAAACGATGATATGACCGCGCGAGAGGATTCTCGCGATTGTCGTCTCCCTCGAATTCGAGCAAATTTCTCTGGACCGTCCGCGCGCTCCGCGAGAGCTCGTCGCCCGCTCCAATTTGTTGGCAGTCCGCGCAATTGAGGCGGGCGAACGAGCGAGCGAGCGAGCGAGCGAGCGAACGGTTCAATGGCTGATGGAACCGGAGGCGACGTATCACAATATCACGCCGCACACAACAGACGATGATATAACGCGCCGCGTCGAGACGCGGCTCTTATCGCATGCATACACGCGCGCGCGAGTACCACGTATGCACCCGGGTTCGTCGTAACGCTCGTAACACGTATATGCGCGCACACGCGCGCGCCGCGTGGCACGAGCGCGTGGTTACACGCGTTCACCCGCTCCGAACTCCGACCGAGGCTTTTCCAAACAAACGCGTGCGCGCGCGCGGAAAGCGCGGACTTGTCCGGCGCCTCGTGGACCCGAATGGATCCCGACACGTTGATTGTCACTGTACATTTAGGTAGTTTTATTCTCGACACTATATTTTGTCAGCATTTATGTTGTTTTAATACGCTACTTGACGCTGCGCGGACTCGCGGACACCGTGGGCTTTTTAAGGCACAGTCGATTTTTCATTTGTGATTCCCACGGGAATGACATCAGCACTCTTAAAACTAAATTGCAACAGTTCCGGCCTATGTAAGTATAGAAATCACTTTTTGTAACCTTGAAGGTGATACATGAATTTTTTTTAGATTTTTTGTAACAGAAATTCGTTCAAAAACCCTTTAGACTTGAAAGTCCCAGGGTGTCTGAGTAAGTGCTCCAAAAAGTTTTTGTATTTACTTTTTATCTCTAATTTATAATAAAATTTTATTTTCTTCCTTTCTAAATAATCAAATCAGCGAATAGCCAGGTATATGTATAGATATAGGGCGGTATTCATAGTCGAATCTTACTTATATCAAAGACCGTCTTAAGTCTGATCAAAAGTAGTCTTAAGACTCCGTCCAGCCAATCAAATGACCGTATTAGCAACTTAAGACATTACTTAAGACGGTCTTGAAATAAGATCCGACTACAAATATCGCCCATAGTGTCCATACGTGTCTGTAAACTGGGTATGTAGATTTCTAACTGTGAATTAATTGATGGCATTCGGTAGTCAATGTGTTAATGGAACCGCGATTGCTCTTTAACATATGTTTTTTCTTTATATTCTCGAGATGACTTTCGAAACGGAGAATGGGTCTTATATACATGCGAATCTAGTGAGAGGAAATTGATTGAGCTCAAATTAATTCTAAGGAGCAGTGAGCACTTAGCTCTGCAGAACTTTATTAAGTATGCGAAGTCAAACGATACTGAAATTTGAATAGAATAATAATTCACGATTTTGAAAAATCGATTCGTTGTAACAGGAAAGCTAAGCGTGTTCTACAATTGATTTCTACAGTTGATTCTAAAGAATATTTGGCTGTTTTATTGTGCGAAGTCGAACGAATACTGAAATTCGGGTAAAATAATAATCCGTGCTTTCGCGAAAAATCGATTTGTAGGAAAGCTAAGCTCACCGATGTGTCGTTAAGGAATTATCATTCATCCGTTTGACCCATTTATTCGGGGGATATGCCGTATATATCGTAAGCTCGTGCAGCGCGAGCCGGCGCGGCGCATCAAATCGTCCAATTCCGATGCATTCGGCCGGCATCGCGGAATATGTAAGTGAGAAATTATGCCGTGCACAGTATCAGTCGGTCGTTGCATAATAGCTAAAAACGATGAGATATAGAGAGGCGAGCGGCGATATACGATTACATAAGAAGACAAACCAGTTGTGGAGAGCTCGCGAAAATATATTTTTCACGCGCGGAAAACTTTATAGCTGTCGCGTAGTAGTGGGTAGTGTTTTCATTTTTAGCAAATTTTTATCTCGGAAATCTATCGTATATTCGAGTACACCTTAGTTTTCCCGGTGACGTTATCTCTTTTTTTTTAGCTTTTTTTATGCTTGATGCTGATCGATATTTCTTCTTCGGTACAGCGCGCGTCTTGAGCTCTCGTTTGTTTACTAGCTCGGCTCGTCTAAAAAGATAATTAGTTTATTACGTGTTATTTACGTATTCTACGTTTGTCACATCGACCGGTTACATAATGGAATTCAAGGAATGGCTGGAGAATGATTCTTTTCTTTGCAGATGATATGGGTGCTTGACCGCTGGTAAATTTCCGTATTCTTTTACGTGGTTTATCTGCTGTGATCCTTCAGAGGCTAAATGACAAGTCTTGAAGCGAATTCCTTGTAATTAATTTATTATGCAGCTCTGACCACAACACACGTCATTTGACTACAATTTTAAGTTCTGAGTTTTTCAAACGTGACGCACATTTAATAGTTTTACGATTCTGTTAATCAATTTCGAAAGCGAACGAAAATAAGTTCTATTGATGAACAGTAACATTATTTAGGATTATAGATGTATAATAATATACGATATAAAGTATATCTCTTATTATCGTGCTACATCTGTCTTCGTTCGTTAACGAATTTGAAACTAGATTTTCACAAAAGTTCAACTAGACGATTATAAAACACCGCGTAAATTTTTTATTTTTATTAAATATCTTTACTATTATTCTTATGCTTCAAAGATCTTTGTAAATAACTCCTGAGTCATCAAAGTAAAGTTCACATAGAATATTAAACAAGAAATAAAATAGATCAGATCCATTCGTATATATGTATCTGAAGCTGAAGTCGGGAAGAAAAATAAAAAAAGTTATTTTGAATAACTTGTATATGATTCGGGAATTATACTGGCACTTCTTTTGAAAGGATCATGAGATCAACTCCAAAGTCGAATGTGAATGAAGGTTCGTGCCGCGATAGCGGGACATACTTTGTGCACATATTGGTGTGCAGCCGCGATATGTAAGTACTTTCACCGCGGAAGACCGATAGCTCTCCCGATATGCATCCGCCGTGTACACAGGGACCCGGACGATTTTTTTTGAGCGACTGGCGCATTACTCCGAGAAGCAGATTACTTATTCAAGGTTGGCCGAGGAAGCCATCGCCCACGCCGGCAAAGCCTCGCAAGTGTAATCGATGATTCAATTTTTCCGGCTGTGTCCCTCTCGTGATTCCGCGCGTTCTCTCTCAGCCGATGGCTCAGCGTTACGTAAAGATTCGCGCGAGTCGCGACCCGGAGTCGATCGTTTCAATCGTGACCGATTGACAGAGAAATCGTATTGTCAAAAGAAATCTATTATTACATCGCGAGAGCGCTATAACTATGATAAATCTAATCCGCCGACACGTACGATCGCGATCTCTCGCGCGTGATCTTATTGCAGCAATTCAGCACCTCGTACAACCGTAAAGATCCGTGACCAAAAAAAAAATGCATTGTGGCGCATCGTTGGGCGAATCGTCGATCGAACGCGGAAGATTTCGGCGGAAATCGATCGGCGCTTAAGTACGCGATCGGCGAACCGGAATGCGATCGCTCTTAAATCCGCGAGCGATCGGGGTTACTTTACTCGGGCGCACATACGAGGCGGCGAGTCGCGGGAGGGGCTGCCTCGGTGGGAAAATGACCGCCGCCGCGCCGTGCTCGAGAATTGCTTTGATATGAGGTAATGCGCACCGCAAAACACGCAAGAAGCATTACGTAACGTTTAAACGTGTGTATGTATACGCGACGGCGATCGGCGGCCCGCGCCGGTATATTTATCAACGAGCCGATCGTAGCCGCGGTTTCCGTTATGAAGAAACGGCCGGCCGATTTCCAAACCGACCGACCGACCGCAAATGAATTCCGATCGGTGGCGAAGTTTACGGGGACAATTAACTCGAGATCGATATCTAATATGTGACGAGTATTAGCGATTGAAGAAAGGTATCGGCATAAACCGGCGATTCCCCGTGTCCAGTTCAAATTGAAACGCGACGACAATCGACCGTCGTCTCTGAATTCTCTCTGACAGTCCGAGATGCACTCCCTTTAAATCGAGATTCCAAATATTCGCGATTGTAAAAAGTTATTCTGAAAATCTAGTTTTAAAACTTCTATAATTGACTTAATATAATATGATGCATCATGTATTATATACATATATTTTTATTATATTATATAATATCGTTCGTCTAATCGTAAATCGTAATCGTCATAATTTATTTCGGACTTGAGTTTAACGTTGATCGTAGAGTTATTGGTGGTCAGTTTACAGTCTGTCATCTGTATGCGAACCAAGTGTTTCCGTAGGGAAAGGGTACAGGCGCCAATTGCAAACTGCACACAGCTCTGAAAAGGTCAAAGTATTTCAAATGCAAATCGTGTTAGGCCCGCAAGGGTACCGGCTTGTAAATACGGAACGCGGATCCAGCCAGCCGGAGCCGGTCGGTGAGTCGGTCCATTGTCGTCTCCCGCGTGCTGTAATTATTTTCACGTGGCGGCGAGATACGCGGAACGTGAAATGTAATTTCGGTTTTCGCGTTGCCGTCACGATGACGCATAGACGGCCGCACGTTGCAACCGCTAACGTCAGCATAAGGAGTACTCCGTTTTTCATTCAGTGGAGCGCTCCTCCGAGTTGATTGATTGATTGAGAGAGAGAGAGAGAGAGAGAGAGAGAGGGGGGAGAGAGAGAGAGAAAACGATCCGAAATTACTTAAGGCCGTGGCACATAGAAAAACTTAAGCAGTAAGCAAATCAGCCAATCACAGTCAAGAACTTAAGGCACGGTCCTAAGTTGATTTACTTACTGCTTAAGTTTTACCGCTTAAGTTTTTCTACGGCTTTTATTCGCGCCGATATATTACATTCACGACGTATTCAATGTCGACAGGTATCTCTCGCGGAATTACGCCACGTTAAACACGGGTCTCGCGATCTTTCCTTTCTTTCCGTTATCGATTACATACCGAATCGCGCACTCCTATTTTTACGGAACGAGACGGAGCGAACGTGTCGGACCGGTTAACGGCGGTAGCGTTAAATCTAGAAAGCGCGCAATTATAATTTACATAACGGAATCATTGCGAATGTTACGTTACGGCCTTGATTCCGTGTGTGCGTGCGTGCGTGCGTGCGTGTTTTGCGTCACAGGTCAAGCGCACAGCGAACATCGAAGCCGGCGAGTCCGGATATCGGTGCACCGCACTTCGGGGCCGGATTACGCAACCGCGCATTGATAAGAAAATAAGCGAGTCGCCTTGACATTGCCGACTCGCAAGCGTAATCCGGCTGTTTTTGTCGAGGATCGGTATTTCTCTTACTCCCCCTTTCCCCCCCGCCTCCCCCTCTAATACTGGCAAACACGGAAGTCCACGCTTCTGACATGTTTTAACAGACAGATAAGACAGATATCTGTAACATTTTTCTTCCGACGTTAATCATCCATTTTTAACGTTCTGTTTTTACAATTTCTTTTCTTCGTCAGTGAAAAATTAACCAGAGTTATATATTTTGACCAAACTGACTTTAATATCGAAGATTCTTACATTAACTCGACGTTTCGACACTGATTTTGTGTCCTTATCAAGAGATTCTGTTTTTAGTTCTTTTTTAGTTATTTATTAATTCTTGTGACTATTCCGTTTTTAATGTTGCTCGATATAATGGCATTAACGCAGTATTCTTTATTGTAAAATATGTCGAAAAACTTCTTTCCTTTCGCGATTTCTTTTTAAATCCAGAGGGAGCATTAATATCATTCGAGCAGGTGTATACGCTTCTATGAGAAAGATTCTAACGAAGTGTTGTTACTGCCCGATATTAAATGTTTATTTTCTCCGCAGTTATCATAAATTTTTTCTAGACTAGCTGTCTCGTGCCGTAACGTGCTATAACGTAGCGATTAGCGATTTACTATGCAACATTTATTTTACACATGATTTTATGCAGCCGCAGATAACGTAAAGTAATAATTATATTGCCTGCGATTGAAATAATACTTTTTCACAAAATAAAAATGTTCTCGCTTAATTTCTCTGTGATGGTCTTTTCCGACATTAATAATATTCTAAAACGTCGTTCCCGGGACGGGTACACAGGTGGACGACAACAGGGCTGTTTTTGTGATTCGTCGATGCGACGACGAGGATAGGGGATGTCGTCGGCAAGGCATAATCTGTCAAGCACAGGCGCTGATGATGTTTATATAATCACGTGGTTAAATTGTTGCACACTGTGTTCTCCGCGCGCTTACGTAACTGGAATTCAATCGCATTCTCACGGGAAACGGGCAAATGTGTTAGGGCTATGGCATATAGAACAGTTATCTTAAGTTTTCGAGAATTCTCGACTGCAGTGATTGGCCAATTTGCTTACTGCTCAAATCTTCCTGCTTAAGTTTTTCAATGTGCCACAGCCCTTACTGCTATACTGTTTGTCATCGCGTGTCGCGCTTAAAGGGAGAGCTTAACGCTTTTCCCAGCGGAAAACTCGCGCGAAAAGCTTTACGTTGGGTCAAAGTCGCTTCGATCTTTTATCGCCCACAGGAATTTCAGAACTAATTTGTAAGAGATAATCTCTCTCTTTTTTACAGATACCCCGGTACTATGAGGCCGCACGAATGGATGCGTGACACATCCCGAAGCAGATTCGAAGGTATGATCTACTTGATATCAACTTGATCATTTCTCAACCCTCGTTTCGCTCCAAGTTGACATATCTATAAGAAAAATTTGTAAAACAAGAATATGCTTTTTATTGATATATTTTTTCATTGAATCGATGAGTTAACAGTTGGTCGTCGGATTCTCGTGTTATACTCCATGCATAAAAAGTTAGAGAAATCCCCTTATGGTTATAAATGGAACGTCGATTTTGTTGCCCAAGGGCGCAGATGCTCGTTTCGATGCGACAATGGAGGATAACATCCTAACAAGCGCTCAGTGCACCTGACATAACTCTTATATCTCGTTATTACGCTGTATTGTCGCCGATATTATTCCAAGAAGCGCAATATTTACTTCTTACGGCATAATTTCCATATTGCGACAGGCAAATAATACTAGATTCATGAATAAACTGCTGTCCACTTAATTATGCATACGTCAGTACGTCGTTTAATTGTTTCGATTTTTTACGCTCATCGAAGTCAGTTCTCTGCTCTACGCTCATCTGCAAATTATACGTATCGAACAAAGAGTATCTCCCCCCCGATACTTAGCTTTTTTCCTATCTTGCAAAATATCGCTGGCCTCTTTCTTCTCGCGTTTATTACTGAATCTTAATTTACTTCTTAATTCGCCGTCCTGCCCGTTTGAGCGTAAAGTTTACTCGCCCCGCTCGTTTCGCGTCTTGACGCACAAACGATAAATCGTCGCGGAAGACAGTCGTCCAATTATAAAAATTTGCGCGACGGATGAATCAATTAAGATTTAATAATTCGACGCTTTCTCCGTGACATTTGTTTGCAGGCATCGGTACGTTCCAGCCAAATGAATGGACGCATGGAAGGACTCGATACGAATCTAAAGGTAATAAGCTCACCATCGGCACTCCGCCAATTGTTTTTAACGTTTTAATTTTCGAGCAAACTAACGTGCTTTTGCTGATCGACAATGTAGTTACGGCGAGGGAAAGATAATAAGAGTAAGATGATGTCGCTGGCCGCCGTTACAGTGGCAAGATGACACAATGATTACAGTTGTTTCCGCGAAAGTATTGTGTTACGGGAGGAAGGTCAGTGTCAGTTTTCCAATCAACGTTGAGAAACGAATTCCGGAATCGCCGGTCAGTTCGGAATTCGAGGATATAACGTTCTCCTCGGCGGTAATCGAGGTAAATTGATACTCGATATACTCGAGAGGAGCGCGAAGAGACGTGCCTCTAAGTCCGACCCCGGTTACGCCCGACGCGTAAATGTTAATAACGTTACGTCAATTACGCGCCCTTCCCCGATTTCTTAATCGTGGTTTGATTAATGGTTGTCAGACACGTAATAAGATGATTCAATTGCGATATAGACATTATTCTAATCGTGTTAATTTTACTGGCAAGATATTGAATGTTTAATGAATAGGTAATGAGGCAATTATGTGCTAATAATACACGCAGAGATATATGGTTAGAAATTGTTTCTTGTAATACGATTTGTTTCTTTTCCTTGAAAAAAAAAAAAGAAAAGAAAATATATTACGAAGTATTTAATATTTAAAAAACACATTTCAAAGATTTATGGACGGCAACTGATATGGAATGTCGTATTTTTAATCGTCGATTTTCACGACGCTTATGCCGCTGTCCCGCCGAACCGCGCATATATCGAAAATGCGCGTCACACCGGGTAAAAGAAAAATATTGCGCGTTTTATTCCCAAATTTCGTCAACGGCGACGTTGACGTGCGGCGAGCGTTAACGAAGGTCAAAGATCGTTATTTGAAAACGCGAATAATTGGATAAACGCGGGGGAGGGGGGGAGTGCTATGAAATCACTGTAAATTAATCGACGGGGAGCTGATCCTTGGTTACCGAAAAATCACGCTAATGAGTGAACGGGGAGAGATTTGGCAGAAGGGGAGGGTGAGGCAGGATTGAGAGCGAGCTGTGGTCACTTCAAACGTCAATGCCGATCGTAAACCGGGGCCCGTATCAGACAAAAGCGTATTGACGATAATAATTAACGTTACAAACGGCCCCGTTACAAACGGCTGTACAGCGGCGCGCGGTCAAGGTAGGCTTAGCTTCGTGTAATTAGCGCTAATTAATACAGTGCAATCGGCTCGGTCGCGGAATCTCGGCGACACAGATTTAAGGGATGAAAAACGCGATTAAGTGCCATGGAACTGGGCATCTGCAAATATGCGCGCGTATGTTTTTCGTCGATCGCCGATCTGACACGATGGTCCTCTCTACTTCGAAACACGCCGCGGCTAATTAATTTGGTAATCACATTTATTACGCGGTCTGAAGGTTTACGGATAATCGCGTAGCTTGTTTCTTGCACGCGGCTCTTTTCTTGTAACAATTATAGTGTTCACGATAGTCTACGCATTTTTTTATATTAAATACCCATAAACAGGGGTGGCGTTAATCTATTTTTTTTTTTTTAGAAATTATTGATAATCACGATTGATATAACTGTGATCAACAATGGCGGCATAGCGTAGACAAAATTAATAGCTCACGAAATTGAAACGATATTAAAAATTTCTCGTAGGTGTCACTGTACAGTGACAGTTATTATTATTGCGATATTAAGCGAATTGCGCGATAAGGTAAACCGGTTAGTCGAAGGCTAACGTTTCGAGTCTATATAAAGGAAGAAATAAACTTGGAAATACTATATATTATAAAGAATAATCGCGCGAGAAAAAATACATTGGCCGTTCGCTTCGTGCCTCTTCTAGAATGTGTGATATTAAAATGTTAACGCCAACTGATTACGTTATATATTAATAAAGTTATGTAAGGCATTAGGATATCGAGCGTTAATTAGTTGGCTTTAAGTGCGCATATATTGTTACGTATTATATGATGAAACGTGCGTTAATTAACGATGGAGCGAAGCGAAAAGTTAAAAAAATTTTTTCCAACGCATGAAATTTACGTATTGGTATTATTTTATTTTCTTTCTTCCGAAGGAGATTTTTATTTTTGTGTTTTGCTCAGAAAAAAAGTCAAGGAAATATAAGCTGAACTAAAAAAATATTTTAAAAATGTTAATATATCTGGAAGGCATATGCATTTTTAAATTGTGTTGAAAGTCACGTCGCGTAGCGGCTGATTGCTACCGTCATACCCGCGATTTCTCAACGTCGGCATGAACAGATAGCGGGAATATCGCAAGATATGTGCAAGTTTGCCGCGAGTCGTTAATTATACGTTCCTTCTGTGACCGATTATTACCTGTTTATTATTTAATACTTTAATATAAGTTTCGATTATTTAATTTTTAATGGGTTGTGACAACCCAATTATGGTTGACGTTGACAAGCAATGGCATATCGTTACACACTTTTAATAGTTCTCCTAGCAAGGTTCGATCAATTTCATATTTTTCTTATTGACGTCACGTTATTATGTGGAATCCGGGAATCTTGTTTGTGTATACTATATAAATCGTATAAGTCTTAAGTGTATTAGCGATGTACGTCAGCTTCAGAAACCAAAACCGCCGCGAGCGTGAAGTCCATTCTGACAATGAGAGTGAAATACGAAATTTCAATTTCGTAAATTACGATCAAAATCCACTTTCGTATATATTTTTATCATATAAATTTTTATTACGAAGCCCAAGTGTGGCTATTCTTTTACTTCGCGACCACTCGACTAATCCGGGGAGGAAGTCGCGGCCGCAAAGAATTGTCGCGCGACGCATCCTCCCCGGCGCGATGTGGGGGTGGCTCGGGGACCCGACTCGTCGTCGCGGGAGCGATTCCGCGGCGCAGGGCGGTTTTAGTCACTCCCACCTGTGCCGGACCACGTGGTATCAGCCGCGACACCCCGATGTACTCAACAGCATCGCTGCCGATGACGAGTACTTCTCTATCACCGTCACCACCGTCGTCGGCGGAGGTGCCTCCTACCACCATCGCCACCACCACCGCCACCACCGACACCACCGCCAGCACCACCGTCATCATCACCCACCCGCGTTCTCAGTGTCAAACGGACGACGCGTCTGTCGACGAGTGCGTTGTCTACCGCGCGAGTCCGAAAGGAGAGACCTTCTCCTCCCGGATCACGGTTTTGCTAACCATCGATATCGCAAGCACCGAGACGTCGTGGTCTCAAACGTCGGCGAAGGCTAGCCCGACGGTGTCGTTTCTTGTTTTCTCCCTCCGTCGATCGGCGTCACGTGCCGGTCAGCGTATCGCGCGGGAACTCGCGACACGCGACTCGAGTAGACGGTGGTGCTGAACGGCCGGCACGACCTCGTCGTCGCCGTCGAGGAGGCCCGACTCTCGAAGTACGAGGGTATCGCCCGGCAAGAGGGAAGGCGACAGGCCTTCTGGCCTCTTCTCGAGGATGCCGCCGCCTCCTCGTCGTCGGCGACGACGTGGATGTACGCGCTTCTCGGTAAGGGGTTTCTCGCGGTGACGCGCGAACGCTCGCGATGTGCGAAGTACCGTGACGAATTCTTCCCGTCGCGCGTCGGGACACGCCGGAAAAATTATTTCGATCTGCATGTGCTTCGGTACATATCTTGGGATTATTTGATGTGAGATTCGTTACCGCGATTCTCGCGGAAGAAGTCGCGATCTGATAAAGAATGCAATTTTTATTAATTACTCGTTAATTATTACATGTCAATTATCATGATATTTAAAAATTTATTCGATCGCAACTTCTTCGTCAACATTCTTTTGGACAGTATATGTATTGTCTTTCGTATTTTTAAATCATTATCATCAATAAGTCATAATTTGTCTACGAAGATAATAATTCGCAAACAGTGGGTTTGAGAGTGATTTTTAAGCAAAGTCGGTTAAAGTGTTTCTTTCAATTGAAAAACTTGTGCCAGTGACATATTGTGCTACATCGTTATTTATTAGATTTTCATCAAGGCATCATCGAATGCATTATTTCAGTAACGATTACTGGGATATTCTCGTCACCTCAGGTACTGTTTTCTTTTTCATTGTAACGAAATACGTACCCGTACTAGCGTTATCGATAATTCCTTTATTGGATCACAAAGGATGTTCTTCTCTTCTGGCGTTCTTGATCGTTACTCAATGCGAAATACTTTCTGCGCTTTCCGGCATCGTAAATCGTAACAGATGTCATCGTGTCGCATCCATTATGTCGATGATGTCAGTGACATCATGATTGCTATTTCCATTGATAAAGGCTCAACGAAGCACGGCGTTATCGAAGGTCGCGTTCACGTGCGACGTGTTGTGCAGCTCCTAGGTAATGTCATTGTCACTATTATCTCAATCTTCAGGCGGTTTCATTCTAAAGAATTTTTTTACGCGTCATCGAACGCGCCGAGATCTCCTCCGGAGAGCATTCGTTGCTTACACGGTGATAAAGCGTAGATCCTTATCGTAGTTTTATGTAACACTACCACTTGTTAGATGAAATTCCGTCAACTACCGTACCATATATTTCATCTTGATCATGACAGAATTAAAAACTCCAGCTTGTACCGACGCTTTCATAAAGACGGGAAAATTATTTTAATTAAAAGAGATACCCATGTAAGAATTCTCGTGCCTGCGAAAATTGTTATTCAATCTTAATGTAATAGGAGTCGCGAGAGGTGATACATTGCGCATCTATCGAGGTGCGATGAAGAAGTCACATGCATGTTTATCCATAATCATATTTAAAATAAATATGCACGATCATTACGATTTTATTACCGTAATTTCGCAGGTTTTTATAAAAACGATATGAGAAAGTCGCGTGAAAGGATTCGGTATTTAGCAATACCGCGAGAGAGATGTTCGAACGAAGATGGACGTTTGAAATATTGGCCCCGTAGGAAAACGTTTCTTTCTTCTATTCACGTTTCGCGCGTTCAACGGGTTCAACCCCCGGAACTGGTTTCTGGACTTAAATCGACGAGGTCTTCTCCGGGGAGCATTCCTTCTGTTTGCCGTCGTTCGCCGTCTATATCCACGTATGCGTGTTAATACGCCGCGAAGCGAAATGTCATAAAAATGCAGAATTGCCTGGCAGGCAGCGGCACGAGGTAGCAATTAATGCGCATCTGAAGGCGGATGATTCGCCATGAGTTCGCGTTGATTGATTGCCGATTTCGTCGTCCGCCC